CCTCCTAATCCATCCATGCGACCCGTGCCCATTGGATGATTTGCAGCCAGGAGGAACATTCGGCTGTATTCTAACGGAGCCTCCAAAACACCAGGCCGAATTGGGGTGTAACTGTGGCCTTACCGCGCCAAGGGGCTCTGGCGCGCCGGACCCCCAAGTTCCCCATTAAAACAAGCAGACCCGACAGCTCACCCCGCTGAGCCAAGGGTCGTACGAACAAGATGAATACAMATAAACAAAACACAGCAACAAACACTACAACTACTGGCGAATCGACAAGGCAACGCACAAGGACAATGGCAATGGAGCACGACGGAGCAAGGAAGAAGATAGGAGGTGCAGCTGTAGGCAGGGGAGGTCAGGGAGCTAAGCGTAAGTTCAGCTACCTTGATGCTCTCTCGCCAGAAGAGCGGGCGCTGTTCGAGGAGCATGCCAGGGAGGAKGATGACGACATGCCCTCTTGCAGCGGCGCCCAGCGCACAGCAGCGACAACTACCGCGGATGCAGCCCAAAGCACCACCAAGGCCCTCCGTAATAATCACTCAGATTCGGGTGAATCTCATCGGRCATAGACCGGTGGCGCACGCTGGAGGAGAAGGAGGCGCAGGAGGGGAGGTCAGAGATCTCTCCCAACAGCAGGTAAACAAGGCGGGTGCGATGATCCTCGAAGGAAGGCCATGAGCGGCGCCTCCCTCAAGTGGTATCTGCGGCACCTTCGGGACGGGATGACCCCCGAATCGRCGTAATCCTTGGCCAGGAGGAGATACGCAGATACTGGGACATCCCCCACGAAGGAGTGTGACAGGACCACGCCTGTGTGTGCGCAAGGCAGCCGGTCTATAGACCGTGGCCAGGTCAGTGCTTCACTGACCGAAATGGGGGGTGACGGGAAGGCGCTCACCTATGCACAGGCCGCWAAGCGGAAGAGTGGTCAGCTCACACCACAGGAGCCCCCCAGTTCCAAAAGGCAGAGGGACGGCGGTACGAGAGCGACCGGAGGCCAACCATCAGCACCGGCTCCCCCCCGGGTGGAGGAGGGGCGGCGCAGGTATGCGGATGCTGTCAAAGGCATCCGCATGGCTGTACTGCCTCAAAGCTATTCGGCGGAGTCGCTGGAGTCGGAACAGCTCACGGTGCTCCAAAACCTCCTCTTGGAAGAGGTATTCAGAGGCGATGAATACGCGGCGTCCTTCCTAGGGGTAGAGTTCAGAGGTGGCATGCTRCAGGCAGACCGATTATAGCGTTACGGGCCCGGGAATCGAAAGCAGAGTGCTGGCACTGAACGGGTCTATCACTAATGTTTACAACGGTAGCTGCCCCCTAACAGTGCTCACAGATAGGCGCAACTGTCCCTGATGGACAAAGAAGCTAGCAGACCACAGAAAAATGGTTCGCAGCCTATTTAACAAGGCAAAACGTACTGGGGTCTGGGAAGAATACAGGAACTACCTAACCTTCTACAATAAGGAGATTAAGTCAGCAAAACAAGCTAGTTTCAGAAGCTTCTGTGAAAAGGTCTCCTCCACACCAGAAGCGGCGCGGCTGCACAAATCTCTGGCTAGTGGAAAGATTAACACGGAGCTAGCCATCAAAAGAGGTGACGGGACTTTTACGACCAGCGCGGAGGACAGGGCGAAAGAGCTTCTGCGTTCTCACTTCCCGGAGACAATCCCGGTGGACCATAGGCCACCTGTGAGAGAACATAGGCCATCCCGCTTGGATTGGGTAACCGCTAGGCAACTATTCACTGCGGACTCGATAAAGTGGGCAATGGCCTCGTTCGAAAAATTCAAGTCTCCAGGGGTGGACGGCATCTTCCCAGCGCTGTTGCAACAGGGTGAACAGCCTTTGCTGCCTCACCTTGTTCGGCTGCTGAGGGAGAGCCTCGCAATGGCGTACATCCCTGACCCATGGAGGACGGCTGAGGTGATCTTCATACCCAAAGTAGGAAGGAAGGACTACTCCATGGCCAAGTCCTACAGGCCGATCAGTCTAACCTCCTTCCTGCTGAAGACTATGGAAAAGATCATAGACCATAATATAAGGTCAACGGCGCTGAAGACTGTACCCCTGCATGCTGCTCAGCATGCATACAGAGCGGGAAGATCCAGCAGTACGGCTCTGTACCAGCTGACCCCGGAGATAGAGACCTCACTGGAGAATGGGGAGGTGATGACATGTGCCTTCTTAGACATCGAAGGTGCCTTCGACAACACATCTCACAAGAGTGTAGCCAAGGCGATGGAGAGAAGAAATGTAGCAGCTCCGGTGCGCAGATGGATAGAGGCTGTGCTGCGCACCAGGATAGCCGAGACCAGGGTAGGTGAAACAAAGATCCGTCTGGGTGCGACAAGAGGCTGTCCACAGGGAGGTGTGCATTCACCACTACTATGGCAGAGAGATCGAGATGACTAGCAAGGTCAAATACCTGGGTCTTGCGCTGGATTCTACCCTGCGGTGGAAGCAGCATGTGATAGTCAAAGCAACAAAAGCATTAATGGTATGCAAACGGCTAGCGGGTAAATCCTGGGGCTGTAAGCCAAAGATCGTYASGTGGTTGTACACCATGATTGTGCGACCGATAATTACATACGGGGCGGTGTCCTGGGCCTCCGTAGCGTCGCAGKCTTCGGTGGTAACCCAACTATCGAAGCTTCAGCGACTGGCATGTGTCTGCATGACGGGCGCTATGCGGACCTGCCCGATGGCAGCTCTGGAGGTCCTGCTGGAACTCACACCGCTCCATATAATGATAGGGCAAGTAGCCAAGAACTCACTTCTGCAGATAACAGCAGAGGGATGCGGCAAATTCAAGATAATTTCGTCCCAAAGGATGGAGAGGATAAGTGGCGACATTCCTATTGCCCTCCTCCCAAGGGACGGCAGTAATAGAAAAATTCACCTCACAAAGAAGTTTAAGGTTACCCTAGGCAGAAAGAGTGAGTGGAACGACCCCACTCTTGAGCAAATGCTTAGGGATAGTACATTGAGGTGGTATACCGACGGCTCGCAAACGTCGGAAGGAATAGGTGCGGGTATTGCAGGTCCGAGTACAAAGCTCTCCATTCCTATGGGCAGTTTTCCGAGCATTTTTCAGGCTGAAGTCTTGAACCAGGTGCACCTAATCTGGGTGCCTGGTCACAGGGGTATAGCGGGCAACGAACTGGCTGACGAGCTAGCCCGCTCCGCAGCCTCCACCAGTATGGTTGGGCCCGAACCATTCACTGGGGTGAGCCCCCATACTGTGAAGGAGCTGCTTCGCAAAGAGGAAAGAGCGTGCAGGGAAAGGTATTGGCAACGAGCGCACGGTACGCGTTATGCCAAGCTGCTAGTTGGGGGGTACAACAATAAGAGGTTCAACCTGTTAATAAACCTCCCGAGAAACAAACTCAGGATCCTGGTCGCATTCTACACCGGCCACTGCAAACTAAATAGTCATTTAGCCAACATGGGCCTATCACCTTGCGCCAACTGTCGGTTTTGCGAAAGAGACCCTGAAACCCCGGAGCACCTGCTAATCGACTGCATTGCAGTCTGTAGACGCAGGTCGAAGGCCCTTGGAGCCATGTTTCCGGATAGGGATCACATCGCCTCGCTGGCACCCAGCAGAATACTGGACTTCATCAATATGCTGGGGCTAAGTGAGTCCCTGTGAGTTAGGAGAGGGCACAATAGACCTAAGGTCGCAGTGCAATCCTCATTTATTTATCTATCTATCTATCTATCTAAGTCCAATATAGTAAGATATTACTTATTATCCATGGTCCCGAATGAGGTGCACCTTGAGCGAGCAGCACCAGAATCGTGCATACTGCATACCATAAGTATCAGGATCTTTGAAAGGTTCCCCCTTCGTAAACAAAAAGAAACAAAAACGACAAATTTATGTGCACACCGATCGTAAAAAATCAAACATTTTCGCGAACATGGATTTGTATGCGCACAAGCCCACGAGTAAACCGCAATTGCATACATACCGATCGAGCGCACATGTCTGTCGTGTAYGGCAACTTTTAACGGGTCATCTCGACATGCAAAAAATTACAGTATACTAACTGTATTGCTGGACGTATTGCTTGTGGATTTTATCAAAAAATTTATATATTTMATTTCTAATATATAAATATTATGATAAAATATTTTATGTCTATATGTCTATATTATGTTATTTTTTCAAGAAAAAAATGGTGAGTTTCTACTTTTTTATTTTCCACATAAATTTGTTCATCAAGAGCTCATAAAAATGTAGAAATTAATATGTTATGATAACACATGCCCACATACAGTTATAGCAACGGCAATGACAATAGATTTCGCAGTTAGTATGCCATAAACTTTTGTTTGAAAAATATTATTATAAAATATTTAGTAGATACCGGTTTTATATTGCCAACGGAAACTCCGAAATTTTCAACACCAAAGAACTATGATCACCGCAGTGTTGGACCGACCAGGGTTATTTTTTTTTTTTGTGTCGAAGCGCGGCCGAAGGCCGACAGTGCAGGAAGTAGTTCGACACAAAAGAACTATGATCACCGCGGTATTGGACCGACCAGAGTAGTTCGTATATTTAATTGGATTATATAGCATATATTATTTAAAAAACATAGAAAAATGTCATTATAAAATATTTAGTAAATACCGGTTTTATATTGCCAATGGAAACTCAGAAATTTTCAACACAAAGGAACCATGAACACCCCGGTGTTGGGCCGACCAGAGTTATTATATATATATATATTTTTTTTTTTTTGTTGAATCGCCGACAGTGCAGAAAGTAGTTCGACAAAAGAAAAAATATGGACAGAAAACAATATCTGGCAACACTGTTATTTGTCATGCCATGTAAACAAAAAAAAAAGTGAATTGCATATAAAATTGTGGAACTTTAAATACCAATATCTCGTAAACGGTAAGTCTGAGAAGGGTATATGTGCATACAGTTTTTAATCCAGAGATTGTCCTATTTCTGATTATACCCTCAAATCGCGGCGTCAAAAGAATCGTAATCGTGCCTGCAGTAGTAGCACCATGTGAGTGTATTGTGATTGGAATGGAATGGAATTCTTGATCGTGTAACGTCCGGGTTACTACTGTCTATTACAGCGACAATAGTGATTTCTTATCAATAGTTCAATACATATACAGGTGTGAGATTACTTTTATTAAAGTTAGTTCAGATTTATAAATAAAGTTCAACCAGGGAAAAAAGGAAGTTGATGAATAGTGCTACTAAAATAACTGTGATTTCAATTCCTTATAATGGGTAGCATTGATAGAGCATGCATATCTGGATTTCTTTGTCGTCTTTGCTCTGAAATGCACAGAATAGTAATTCATATATATGGGGATCAGGGGAGGAAATTATGTTTAGTAGAAAAGATTAACGGGTATCTGCCAATTACCGTAAGTTTGCTAATAGAGTTTATGGTGGATAGTTAAATTTATTATTTTCTTAGATTTCTCCAACGGATCCTTTACCTAAAACTATATGTGAGACATGTTTAAGAAGAGTGGAACAACATTATGACTTGTTGATGAGATTAACGCGAATAAAACAAGGCAACTTTCCTAAAATCAAAAAGGTAAAGTTTATTAAAAAAAACTTAGGGAGCCTTTAGGATGTGGTGCCTGTATTTCATGAATAAAATGGGTATTCGCCGCTAAAGGTTCTCTAGATCAATAAGAAATATATGTTATAGAAGCGAGGGGTTGACTTTAGAATATCGTCCAAGGATTTCTGCAATAAAATGGTTATGGTAGGATATAGGAGGTTCTCCAGAAAAATAAAATAATTTAATGGTTTAAATACCGACAATGTTATCCTTGAAAAAATACGTACTTCAAATAGTGGTAATTTTCAACTTTAGCGCAAATATCTGGGAGGAATTATAAGTTTCATACGGCTATAACTACAGTATACGACAAAACTAAAGTAGGGAATTTACCTTGCCGGTTTATATAAAAATAGCTATAAAGTGATTTTAGTTTTATAGTCAGTTCATTCATTCTTCTTTTTGAATTATAAAAAATTAAACAAATTAACTTATTAATAAAATTTATAAAATTCCATGTATAGTGTGTATTAAAAATTCCAAAAATCTTCTACGACGAAACTAAAGCACGAAATAAATTTATGATTGATTATGATTTTTCAATACAGTGGCACATCGACGAGTTATCGACTCAATTTATTTAATGAGTCGCAAGAAATGCTTTTCAATGCTTCCTTTACTTGTATGAATAAAGCGTTCTTCCCTTTTACAATTCTCAAGTCTGATTTTTCCATATTCAATTTCCCATTTTTCCTCTATGGGAAACCACTGTTTTACACAAGTAGCATTGAGTTTCTGGTTGATGTAGTGTTGATAACTCCTTTTGCAGCTTTAACCGTAATTGCCTTACAATGGATGTTGCAGATATAAAAGAGTAATTTATTATTGTCCGAATGACTGCCTTATCCTCTGGTTCGGTTATTTTCGGCAGCCTTCCACCTCTAAATTTAATGACATATAAAACTTTTGAATTATATAAGAGAATCTCCAGATGCGCCTTGCAAATCAGTGGGGAACATTACAACTCGTTACCGGATCATCTGAAACTAAAAAATTGATATGCGTTTTAAAGGTGATGCATTTCTTAAGGTGATCAGATGGAGTTTTTTTTTCCATTGTTTTCTATTTTTTATTAACAAATTAGGCACGATTCCGATTACTTTGACGGAGGGGTAAAAATACCGAATTTCCGTGTAAATAAGGTATGTCCGGATAGGGGAGCTTCTCCAGAGGAGGAATATCCAAAAATAATATAAAAATACTTATATTTTTTAAAATTTTCACTATTAAAAGTTCAAAAATATGCACTAATAACACAAGGTATTTCTCTATCTTTCATTAAATTTATTCACGTTTTTCACTCTGTATTTTTAAATATACACTCTAAACATTGAAATAAGTTCACATTTCAATTTTATTTTGTAATATTTCACCTAAATTTATTAATTAAAAAATCACTTAGCAAACTCGGCGTTGCAGATTGTTTACAATTATGAGGAAAACGAGCGTTGCCACATCTTAAACACCAAATATGTAGGATTCTTAACGATTTTTCTTTTTTTTTTTGTGTGATTCTTTTTTCTACATTAATTATAATAAAAAGTACTTTCTAACATTTTTTAAGTTATAATTGAGTTGTGAAAACTATACTATACTATATGTAAAATGTATAATATGTGATTTATATTTAATAAACACATATAATTAAAACTCTAGTAATAATAATATAGTACTATAAAATTTATATAATATCATGTCGGGATGACTGAAGTACTTTCGCGTAGTACACCTTTCTGCGTTGGCGGCCTTCGGCCGCGCTCTAAAAAAAGAAGCCTGGCCGAGCGAATACCCGGATGGACTGAAGTACTTTCGCGGAGTACTCCTTTCTGCGTTAAAAATAAAAAAATATATTTTATAAAGTGGTTACATTTGTTGGTCAYCCTGCACTCATATTGAAATAGAATTTCAATTTTCGTTATGAAATGGATAAAATTTAGTTATTATATCTGTCAGCGATTTCCATTTATTTTTGATTATACATTGTTTTGTATTTTAAGTGACGACACATCAATTTTTATATTTAAAATATGAGTTTCGGATATAAAGTGGTTATATTTTTTGGTTACCATGCACTCATATTGAAATAAAATTTGAATTTTCGTACTGTACTAATATACTTTACACTTTATTACGTAATATTATTATATAAATTACTTATACATATGTATATACAATATTATTATATAATGTTACTTATTTGCTCAGTAAATTTAAAAAAGAAAATATCCATATTTATGAATAGAGGAAATTTTTGCAAAAAAGAGAAATTTCAGCGAATTGCCTTATCATCACACGGCAACACTCCATTTCGTCGTAATTTTTGGTAAACAAATAGGGTTAAAACAAGTGTAAAATGTAATTTTTAAAACGGGGATTTTTTAGGTAAAAAAACTGCTAAAAGTGTAAGATATGGAGTTATTTACAAGTTTATAGTGTAATTTAATTAATTTGAAGTGAAAATGTGAATAAAGTGTGTTCAGTGTGGCGAAATAGCGTCTTGAAATGTACGAATTTTGCGAATATTTGAACTTTAAGGTCGAATAACTCCTAAACTAAGCGTTTGCGGTACCTATAACCCTACATATTTTTTAATCAGGAGGACTTCTCTTTCTAACGGTACCTTCAGATCGCGGCGCCAAAGAAATCGGAATTGTGCCACAAATTAAATGCGATTTTTGGAGCTACAATCGCGCTTTTCGAGAAATACCTTTTAAACCCATATCAATTTTTTTTGTTTCAGATAATCCGATAACGAGTTACATATAAAGTTCCAACATTTTTTGAATTTGATGAAAATTTTGTCTAATATACTTTAAAAGTTGTGTCATAATATGTCAATAAATTTATTAAAATTATATTACTCATGTCGCCGCAAAAAAAAACAGAAATATCTAATTTTTTTGCCCTTAAAACCAATAAATGAACTAATAATACAAATCCATAAAACATCATTTAACGCCTAATTTATAATTTATAATTTTTTTTTGTTCATACAATAACAGAAGGGTTGCATTCTAACTAATAATCAGTGCTACTTTACGTTCATATTTTACAGAAGAACCAAAAGAAATAAAGAAAACAAATAATAACCCAATAATAGGAAGTATATAACACATCTGTTTTTTGCGAAAGTATCCTAGCAGGAATTGTCTGGACCGAAGTTCGTTATGCCCCTTAACAGGGAGGATACGGGCCTCACTAAGTAGGTGTTCGATAGGAAACATCAAGTGTTATCCTATCGTAGTCCGGAGAGCAGTATTCTGGCAGGTTTGAAGATTCCTCATGTGCGTACCACTGCATCCAGGCGACCATATTGGTGCTGCGTAGTTAAKRATCGGCCGGCCGATTGCCTTGTAAGTTGCCAACTACGTTTATTTTCTCCATGTGCTGCCGCTAGCTACTTGAGGATTGTGTTGCGACTTTGTAATTTGGCGATAACCGCGATCATATGAACAGTGAAGGAGCATAGACTATCAAAAGCTACACATAAAAAACAATTATTGACAGTCGGGATCTCGACACCATTGACTGTAATATTAAGTTCAAGTCTGTACTCCTTCGTCCAATTTGAAAATATGGTCGTTGAGGAAGCGAGAAAGGTCGGAVAGATAGCCGTTTTCCTTTGAACACATGACATTGATTCCATTGCCCGACGTCGATATCGTGCGAAGTTATGGAAACTCCCACTGGTGACTGGGGGAGTTTCAAGATATAGAACTTAAACCATAGCAGAGGGAGGGCACCACCATTAGTTTTTCTAAGTTTTAAATATTTCCCTTGATTGACGACCGCTCATGTATGTAGTTCAAGCAGAGAATGTAAAGTATAGAGAATGTGCAGGTTCGATGTCGAACATTTTATAAAGTTCTGATACGGAATTTCACCCCACAACTACAGAATTCACGCTGTGAAATGTTAACATTTTTAAGAGTTCTCTCACATACTCAACCAGTGAATATGAAGAGAAATAATATACATACGTACGGATCATAATGCCATAGCATGTATGCGCAATCAGGGAATATTGAAGAAAAAGAA